ACGTTCACAGCAGCCAAATACTCTAAATGCGCGTTTCTAAATGTCGAGGGACAAATCGCTGGACTTTGGGCGAAATCCACGCGACCACGGGGAGAACAAGCAAACTCCAAATGTACAGCAGGCGTCAAGGTCGGGAACACGTGCCTTCGGAGTGGGCAGGTAGGCACTTGTTTGGACAGCGCATTCGTGCGATCCGTGTTGGAAACTAGCGCCGAAACTCCAATTGCGCGGATGGAATTCCGGATATGCACGACAGAGAGACAGACAAATAATCCCCGGTGGGCAGTGTGGAACCTGTTGCTCCTACCTGCATTAAACCCACGACTTCCTGTATGGTACACAGTGGCGCCCCTTAGCAATCGACCATCCATAGTCGTCCCTTCGAGCGACGTGTTCTGCCCAAGCCCACTCGCTTTTCTCAACATTCCGTGTGGTGCCTTTAACTGGCACAAGCCATGTAATCCACGTGTCCCTTTCCCTTTCTGTCAGCGTAATTCCAAGCAGGAATATTACACTCTAGTATTATTGTTGTTGTTATTAACGATGGCTAAGCGCCGTCAATGGAGATTGGCCACTACCCCACAGGCATTTAAACAAGGATATTCTAATTCTCGTATTGATGTATTGCCATCGTTGGAGTAAACCGTTGTTGTGATTCCGCATGATCAATAGTGCCGCAAGCACATGGGACAGACTCGACACACTCGTCAACCACACTGCCCCAAATTTAAAACAATGATATTCGTCATAACATTTAATAGGTGACGTTTTGGCCCATTGGCACTTCTCAATAGCAGAGAGATGTTCTCGCTTCATAACACGTAGATGCTCTCTCTGTTATGAAAAAGTGTTCCTTCAACTATGAACAACGGCCTTTGCCCGAAACGTCGTCTATTTGATATGATGTGTCCTAACTGCTGGCGCTATTGATTTAAATATAATTACAGCTGCGAATTGACGAGGTGCGTATCATCACCATCATCATCACCAAAATAAACGTATCATCACCATCATCATCATCACCATAATAAACGTATCATCATCACCATAATAAACGTATCATCACCATCATCATCACCAAAATAAACGTATCATCACCATCAACATCACCAAAATAAACATATCATCACCACCATCATCATCATCACCATAATAAACGTATCATCACCATCATCATCACCATAATACACGTATCATCATCACCATCGTCATCACCAAAATAAACGTATCATCACCATAATAAACGTACCATCACCATCATCATCACCATAATACACGTATCATCATCACCATCATCATCACCAAAATAAACGTATCATCGCCATCATCACCAAAATAAACGTATCATCATCACCAAAATAAACGTATCATCACCACCATCATCACCAAAATAAACGTATCATCACCATCATCATCACCAAAATAAACGTATCATCATCATCACCAAAATAAACGTATCATCACCACCATCATCATCACCAAAATAAACGTATCATCACCATCATCATCACCAAAATAAACGTATCATCATCACCAAAATAAACGTATCATCACCATCATCACCAAAATAAACGTATCATCATCACCATCATCATAATAAACGCGTCGGAACGCAGCGCGGCCAGATGCTCGCCGTGCCGGTGTCAGGGCAGGACAAGCCGGAGAGAGAGAGGGAGAGAGAGAGGGAGAGAGAGAGGGAGAGAGAGAGGGAGAGAGAGAGAGGGAGAGAGAGAGGGAGAGAGAGAGAGGGAGAGAGAGAGGGAGAGAGAGAGGGAAAGAGAGAGGGAGAGAGAGAGGGAGAGAGAGAGAGGGAGAGGGTTCCACTTCGCTGTGACGGAGCGCGCACACTCGCGGTTTCTACTCTGTCAAGGTCTCTCCAAAGACGTTTCTCCGGCCGCATGTACGTCCACCGCTCGACATGCACATTGCAGAAAGCGGTGGTGTATTGCAAGCCACTTGACTTACAGTGTCGTGAGATAGCGGCGTAAATCGATAGGAGCTCATTGAACACGGGCTGGATTTTTGAAATGCTTTGGATGCTTCCTCAGCAGCAGATGAAATACTGTAGTTGTATTATTCACCACTAATGTAATGAATGGCACTGGAAATCTGCAGCACGGTGCTACATTTCACGCAGACACGGTTATTAGTATTATAATAAGATTCTCACTGGAGGGGTGGGGGGAGTAACGAGGCGATGTTTTGTAAAGTACACCCATATCTAAAAAAAAAAGTTTTAAAGTCGCATTCGATTTGATCATGGTAAGTAAGAAAACGCTTAAAAACATGACGATGCCATTGAGTGAAAACAGTGAATGGTAAAACGTCGTGAAGTTTAAGTGATGGGGAAAAAAAGTCAGTTGATCCCTTGTCGACGTATACGATCTTGCACAAATAAAATGTCCATTGATAAAATAAGCGGTGTGGGATGTGCACCGTATTAATATGCATTCACAAAACAAATGTCCGTGTAAAGATTGACCAGGGAACGACTAAATTATGCTCTTTGGGTCTTTCGGTAAAGTCACGTAAGTTAGACAAACAATAAAATAAAATCACGACATTTCGATCGCAACACAAGCAATCGTCTTCAGGTGAAAAAAATACAGCAGGCGGATCGCTGAGGCAGGAAGAAATGTAGCGAGAGATCTACTTCAGCCAAAGGTTATAAACGTTTCAGATGAATACAACTGAGATGGGGACAACTCACTTTTTCCTGCCTCAGCAGTCCGCCTGCTGTACCTTTTCACCTGAAGATGATTGCTTGTGTTGCGATCGAAACGTCGTGGTTTTTTAAAAATAATTTTATTATTTTTCTACCCACGTGACTTTACCGAAAGACCCAAATGGTGTGAATTACTGCAGTCACGACAGCTTTTAAGTCAAGACGAAATTATGACTAGAAGCAAATTTAATGATTGGGATGTATGGTCAAGTTTGTTACCGAGCAGTTCGAATGGGGGTAAGTCGAGGCTTGCATAACCCAGAGAAAACCCCGAACATGCGAGTGAATATCACTTGAAGCAAGTTGTCACCGTTAAGCCAGCCACCTACTTGCTGCGCTGCCCCGTATAACCACCGCGCCGCTTCCTGACGAAGGACTTCCACATTCTTTGCATGGCCCATACACGTTAGCTCCACTGCTACACATCATGGGCGTGTAAACAGCCTACGTGGCCTTAAATTGGGCTGGAAATGGATAGCAAAGGAGAAATAACAATTGCTTAAACTCGAAAAAGTGAGGTGATGGTAATATGATTACGCACCAAAGCTTGGTCGTGCACGACGACGCACTTTGTAATATTTGGCCAAAACACCTTATCCAGGCCTTCTGCAAATCTGAATTGGAAGCTGAGTAGCAATTAAATATTTATTTCAATAAACTGGCACATTTATTGCTCTATCTCCGTCTGTCTCCCTCTCCTTGTCTTCCCCTGTCTACCCAATTCCCTGTCGTTCTCTCTCTTTCTGACTTTGTCTCTTTCTCTTTTCCCCCCTGTCTCTTTGATTTTGTCTTCCTGTCTCTCCCAAGTAAGTATGCAACGTTGCGCCAACGTTTGCCTAACTTTCCATGTTTACTGGGTCTGTGTGTCTCTGTCTTCCTCTCTCTCTCTGTCTCTCTGTTGCTCTTTCTTTCTCTTTGTCTCTGTATTTCTCTGTATATCTGTCTCTCCGAGTCGTTGTCTCTCTGAGTGCATGTCTCCCTTTGTCTCACTGTCTCTTCGCTGTCTCTCCCTCTCTGTTGTGATCTCATTAGTGGTGAGGCTGCCTTCAGATCACCTTCAGCTGCCAGCTGAGCTTCTGAGCAAAGATTGTAAATGCATTGGAAATGCAGTAAATGCACAGTATTAGCAGTATCACTGTCTGTATATCAGCATCAAACGGCATTACTTGACTTCTATAATGAAAGCATTATAAATGCCTACATACTATACATATATCATGTTACAGAAAATATGTTCTAGTTGCTCTTCACAAGCAGTACTGGACATATACATACAGTGTGTACTTTATGCTTCCACAATCTCATTTATTGTGACTCCCTCATTACAGATTAGCAGGTGCACCAATTGGCTGTGTGGGAAAAGTGTCTAGTGTTCAATTAAATTGTTCAATGTAATGTACCTCTCTGTCTTCTCCGATGAATAATTTATTTATCAATTAAGAGCTGATATGATGAGGAAATTGCCAGGAATTAATAATATACGGTGAGCCTACTGGTTTTTTTTTAAACACTTGGGCTTTCGCGACCAATATTGTCCAAAATAGCGGGGGTTTTTTTTGTTGGGTTAGATCGCGTCAATATAAATGTGTTGTTAAATCTGCCACCACCCGACACAGCCAATTAGTAAGGTTGGTCGCGTAAATAAAACATGCCAATTAGTTACTAGATCAGCGCACCAGTGTGTTGGACAGTAAACCCACAACATTTACAATTCTAGTATGATGTTTTCGCCGGTAATTACAACCAGCATCATCAGGCCACAGCCAGAATTGTGGAGAAATCCTCCTCCTGTTTCGGTCTTGAATAGAGAGGGGGGGGGGGGGGTAAATGTGGTGTCATCACTCGTGAGCCAATCGGGGTTTGACAGCATCAGTGACCTTCGTTTTGTTTCCACACTTACATAAATAAACAAATAAACGATGACCCGTCAGCCTCTTGCTTTTCCAGATCAATATTATCCAACAACATGTGTTTAAGTAAGCGAACTCTGGGCCCATTTAATTGGTTTTGTTAATTCAAACCTGAATGCCAACAAGGCTCAGAAGGTCCAAACGAATGGAGAGTTTATTTTTTAATATGCTAAAACAAATAATATTGGCCTGAAAATCAAAGTATGTTTTTGTTGATACGTGGAGACAAAACAGAGCTCTGGTTATCTGCGTTCTCACCAACAATGCCCCTCGACAGCTGCATAATGAGTTTGTGTGCGACTGCGAAAAGAAAACATTGAGGTCGTGAGGGAAAACGTGATTATAATTTAAATAGACATTCTCACCCCTCCAGGAATGTTTGGGTCAGCTTTTCTTGTGAGAAGAAGTTTAACCAATTCTTCCTTGGAGTGAAAAGCGGCAATATGAAGAGCCGTGCGTCCGTCCTAAACAAACACAAACACGAGTGTCACATTACATTGCTTGATCATTGTGAAATTACTCATTCGTTAGGACACACGCGCACACGCCGCATATTTGTATCTGTTCACCAGTGTGCAGCTCACAGATGCGTGCCTTAAGGCAACAACAACAAAAAAAACATTTGTCGAAAAATATCTCTCGAAGGAAAACAGCGCGTCGTGTCGGGGAGTGGCCCTGCAGGGAGATGATGCGACACAACTATTGCTGAACTCACGTCCAAAAACTCGCCTGCCCAGCATTGGATACCACTCCTTCATGCCCAACAACAATTAACGTGAGATACACTGCGTTTATAAACGTTAGAGCTCAGCGTTGAGCAAAGTTGACGAGAAACGCTGCACATCATGGTTTTGTTTGTGCGCTCATTAGTGACTGGGCTGAGACCATCAATCTCACTACATTTGAGAAGCTAATGTGGTTACGAGTGGCCGCCCTGATTCAAACCCAGGATCCCTGCTGTACTGGCTAAGAGCTCCTGCTGGCAAAGACGTTAGTAGCCCCAGACCATCTCCCATGGTATAAAGATTAAGATGATATTTATTTCAGCAGGAAGGGCCAAATTAGCTGTTAGTTTATATTTCAGTGGCATCCTGCGATGTTATATACTGAGTTTTGTTCATATAAGGTGTAATATTATTTATCCAGTGAATCTGCAGACCAAACACAAACATTAAGTTGTGCCAGAGTATTTCTGTGTGGAATGAGGAATGGACTAGTGGTAGTTTTTGCAAGTGGTCCTGAACGTGTGGGTGGCAACTACACATTTCCATGGAAGGGAATATAGATCTCCATTGGAAAAAAAACGCCGATGAGTTCCCACAAACTGATGCCCATTTTGCTCACCTCAAAGGTATTTGTGCCGAGGATCTAAACTTGTATCCTTCCAATTGTAGGTCAGGCACACTAACCATATGGCAATGTTGGTATTTTATTTTTTATCTCTCCGCGTGTGTTAAAAAAAAAAAACTCAAAACATTTGTCAATTACTTGTGTTGTCAGGAATGCATTTTCATTGGAGAGTTCTGCAGCACAACCACGAATATTTATCTCGTAGGAAGAGGCCCTGGAATGTATTTCTCACGCTGCCGCCGGAGGAAGAGCCTCCATTAGAATGAGCTCAGGAGCGTATTCGGTCTACTCTTCAATGCTGCTCAGACAATCTTGGTAGAGGGGGGGTTATTAACCCACAACTTACCCGACCACACGTGACTTTTGCCAATCGACTAACCGTGGTGAATCCTTTCAATGTATACTGCTGGGTGGACACCAGCTGGGTGGGGGGGGGGTGAGTTTTAAAAGCAAAGCGTGGCCCATTGTTTCAAATGTCGCACACTGGGAGATGGCATCGAACCGGTGACGTCCGGATCGCTAAGTACACTGCGCGAACAATAACACCACGCAAGTGCTGTGTCCTTCTAATCCAAGATTATTGCGGGTTTGGGGATTAAATCGTATGCTGCTACTGTGTCTGCTTCTTCTAAAAGATGTTCGAGAGAGAGAGAGGAGAGGAGGGGGGTGAAAAAAAATGAAAACAATTTTTGCGCACGTCACCGGAGCAAGCCGTGAAGTGGGCCACTCTCTTGGCGCTGAGGTGGGCCCCACTCGAGGCTCGGGAGGCTGAGACACGCACGGCTTATTTATTGCGCACAAGTGGGCCCTCAGGTCCCCTCCATTTGACGCGTAAAGGCCGCGCCCAAGACGAGAGAGTGCCTCTCTTCATCTCGATTGCCTTTACAAAAAAAAACTCCTTTTGACATTTACCATCTTTGCACTCGACACATGAAGGTAAACGGTAAGGGTGCAGCCCTGCTATTGCTCGTGTGTATGTATGTATGGTGAACTTCTTTCGCACCGTACATAGCCAACCATGCTAATCGGAGGTGCGGGGGAAGGACAAGAAACTAAACACAAAAGGCAGTTCTAAAGAGATGCATTTCACGCCACTGCTGATGGAAAGGCCTCCACTGGAGGGAGAGCCTCTCTAGAATATAGAGAGAGTATTTGGCCTACTTTTCCATGCTCGCGCAGATATGGGTGAACCCACACCCAGCACACCGAACCAGCCAATTGACTGTGACCCTCTTTGAAGTGTATTTCTTTAAACCCCACCAACACTACCACCCTTAACTACAACGACACCGCTACTACTACTACATACATTCCATCACCAACAACCACAACCATGTATATATGTATGTTGAACTTCTTTCGCACGGTACGTAGCCAACCGTGCTAACCACCAACAAAAAACACCTTAATCACCAGCAATCATACCACCACAATCACCACCACCACACTAGCAGGCACATTACCACATTCACCACCACCACTACTTCCAGCAGAACTGCACTAATATCATAATTTAGGTATCCACACCAGCCTGTACAAATGTAGTGACATAGAATTGGTCACGGAGAAACATAGCGCTGGCTGCTGGCAGGGAAGGGGATCTGCAGCTTACAGCAGCCCTGACTGACAGCAGGTCACGTGATAGACCAGTGAGGGATCTTGGGGAAAGGTTACGGAAGGGGCACACCGAGAACCCGCTAGTAGGTTCCAGAAGGGGGCGTGGCCGGGGGCGGAGCCAGGCCACGGTGACAGTATAAGAGGGGCCCAGGGAGGGGACCTCGTGGCTGTCGAGTGGAGTGGGATCCCGTCGTGCTGCGGGTCTTCATCGTCGTCTCCGTCTTCACCATCTCGGCGTCGCCAGTCAGGCAGTCTACCAGCTGCCCTGACTGGGAACCGTGGTTACTAAATGTTACTGTCAGGCCGTGTTAATAAACAGAGTGCCTCCTACTCTTAGTGTCTCTGAGTCAGTCCCTGCACAAAGGTAAAGTATCATCAAACAACCCCAAACAAACGTTTGTTTTGAAATGACTCATTGATGATTACCAAATGTTCAAATCTTAAGAGACTCAAGAAACGTTGTTCCACATGTTAAAGTTTTAACGCAACAAAATATAAAAAATGCTTGTTATGAACAGTGAGGTTTTTTAATTATCATCATCAGCCATGGTCAATCCACTGCTGAATGAAGGCCTCCCCAAGCCGTCACCATCTTCCACGACCCCGCTATATGTCAATCCGACCAGCACCTGCACATGAACTGATTTCACTACTCCATCTCTTAGGTGGACGATCTCTCAGGTGAATTCCATTCCTTAGCTGCTACTCTGTCACTACTCTTGTCCATTGGTCACCATCCCCTTTATCGACGTGTCCTGCCCAAGCCCACATCATTTTCTTTACAGTATTAATCATGCCTTTAACCTGTGTATGTTCGATCATTCATGTATCCCTCTTCCTTTCCTTGAATGTAATTCCCAGCATGCGTCTCTCCATGATTCTTTGAGCAAATCTTAGTTTGTGCCCATTGTTTTAATGGCCATGTCTATGAACCATATTGGATAACGTTAAAAAACAAGAGCTGAGTTTTCAGTTTCTTTTTTAATCACCATAAACTTTCAACAACAACAATAATTCAAACTTCTAACATGCACAATATTTTCCCACTCTTTAAAATTGAGAATGACTTGGAGGCACAAGGAGTAACAGGCACGTGGGAGGTCAGCTAGGCAGTGAACCGGCACCATCAATTGCCCAAGCTCTGTGGTACTCCATGTATATTAAGATATTTCAGTGACGTCATGGGTGTTAATACGTGCTGGGGACATTCTGCTGTTTAACTGCCCTTACCTTTGAGCGGTCACCGAGGTTCACTCCCAGATCAAGGAGGCGATCAACCACAGTGATCTTGTTATCCTTCACCGCGATCATGAAGGGGGTTAATCCTGAGTCCTGCAGAAGACACGTTCATGTAATACGCATTGTTATCATTATGACGGTTAGCAATGCGGTGCTGGGAATAACATTCGTGCCAGTTGTGGTAATGTCTCTATTTCACGTAGTCAAAAAAGTGTATACCTGTTCCATGCATGGATTGTTGGTCAATGCCATTGAGTCCACGGTGGAAATTACACATTCCTATGGCAGGAGGCAATTATCGCCCTCGAACAATGACTTTTGGCTCATCACAAAGTGTTATTCCTCGTATTGACTCCTGTGAGATACGAGTCCACTTTCCAATTGCATGTTGAGCACTCTAACCATCATTATGAGACCTCCTTTGCCAGAAACAAGATATAGGAATAGGTTTTACCCTTTTAACTGGCACAAAAACTGACACCTTTATTCAAGGCATCATGTTTGCAATAACCACAACACAAGCAGTCAAAATGCAAACAAAAGAGACAACTCTGATAATAATATGCATTGTCCTTGAATTTGATTGGTCCACACCCGAGACGGCTTTTCTTAGAGCCTAGTCTCCATTGGTGTTGGAACAGAAGACGCCAAAAGGCGTACAACTCAAAAACAGCGCACTATCAGAGTATTGAGGGCTCGGGGTGAGCATTTACATTATGAGACCTCCTTTGCCAGAAACAAGATATAGGAATAGGTTTTACCCTTTTAACTGGCAGTTATTGCAAACATGATGCCTTGAATAAAGGTGTCAGTTTTTGTGCCAGTTAAAAGGGTAAAACCTATTCCTACACTCTAACCATCGTTTAACTTGGCTGCATAAATATAAGTGCGTGCTATTATTGTTAATTCCACGTAATTATTACAAATATATAATAGACACCTGAAGTTAACCTAAACACGTTGTTCATGATAAGGATTTTGCCATGGTGTAAAGGTCAGCACGTTGGATTTTCAATCAAGAGGTCGACGGTTCTATCTGCTGACGCAGAAGTTGAAACAATGGAAACGTTTAATCGTATAAAGGGTTAGGGTATACCACCCTTGGCAAGTCGTGTGTGGTGGGGTAAAGTGTGGGTACTCGAATCTCTTTTCAGAAATCTGTCCAGCGTGGAAGAGTCGGCCAAACATGGGCCAGCAAATGCAGGGCTGCACCTGCACCATAGCTGTTCCAGGTCACAGTGTCTCCCCTCCTCGAATGAAGAAGGTGGCAAAGGAGTGACATTCATTTCCATTCATGAACCTGAGTCAGTGTGTTCTCACGTTTACAAAGAGTGGATATACATTTCTGACCATTTATCTAATTGTACAATCTGTACCGTTGCAGGTCACCCATGAAATAGAGCCTGGAAGCTCAGTGGGCCCTGATCAAATAAATAAAATCTAAATGTCGAAACAGACAAAACAAAAACAAATCTAAGAAGACACGTGTAAATTGGTAACTCTTTATCCATGGTTGAGTGAATAATATTTAATCTTTGATAATAATTAATAATAAAGGTTTTTGAGTTTTATCGCATAAATATAAATGTGTCGTTAACCCACCACCACCACCAAACACCGCCAATTGGTACTGTAAGCTTTGTCACGTGAACAAAACGTGCCAATTAATTGCTACTTCAACATACTGGTGTGCTGGGAAGTAAACCCTCAACATTTACAATTTGAGTACGACGTTTCGCTAGTGATTACAACCAGCTTCATCAGGCGCTTTGCCAGAATAAAGAATCTACAACACTTTCAATGACTTGGAAAAAAAATTTTTATCTCGTATGTTGTGTTCGCACTCATTACACAAAACAACGTGCTTGCCAAAAATTTACCACAATACCTTTGCTGATCTCGTCAAGGAGCATAAGCTGCACCATCACACGAACTCTTGTCATCGTAGCTGTTTTTAGTTAACCATCAAGTACGTTACAGATGCACTGAGTTATGCAATTTTAAACCTAGAATGAAAACCAATTTCTTTAGAACTCCTTTTTGTTTTGATTTAAAGCTTCCGTGACTGCAGGGATTCATATTATTGGTTCTTTCGGTAAAGTCACGTGACTTTACCGAAAGACGAAAAATACCAAAAAAATAAAACCTCTTGTGAATTAACAGTGCAGCCTGAAACATTTTACAAATCTCCCACCATAGCGACGAAATCGTGTGAGTGATAGGGTGTTCATGAATTAAATAAATTCTACCATTAATTCTCGCTTCGGTGTCAATATTTGCGTGCAGCAAAATTTTTTTAGATCAGCACAACATGTGCCCTTCTAAAATTAAATACTGAAACCAATAAAACTAACGTTGTACTGCTGCCGGTTTCACAGCGTCTTGCGAGTGCATGGTTGCCATGATATGGCCATACTAAATTAGTGGACCTTCGATATAAGGTCCACTTTAATTATATCATTTGTTTCTGCAAAATATCTCTCAATAATTGCGATTTAAAAAAAAAACATCATTATCTGATGGAATAGTTGTGAAATAATAAACACACTAACGAAAGCTCTAAATAAAAAGCTATATGACTCATTAAACGTTCGGTTTTTTTCCTGCATCACAAATTCAAGTTAACCTCGACTACTCGCAGACATTTTTTTCTACATTTCTCTCTTGTGTAGCTCCCAGAATATGCATTGTAAGCATTGTAGATTGTAACGCCACAATGCTTAGAAGACTCAAGGTGGGATTATACTGGAATTAATTACTGTAGGAGGATTTTTAAGTCAATCTCAGGTGGGACAATCACAGCAAGAAGCAGTTTTTTTTTCTTGCTGTGGTTGTCTCACCTTGTGTTGCGATCGAAACGTCGTGATCTATTATTTTTCTACCTACGTGACTTTACCGAAAGAACCAAAGAGTATGGATTCCTGCAATCACGAAAGCTTCAAATCAAGATTGTCTATAACTCTGTACAACATGTGTGTTAAGCAAACCACAGTCAGGAGCCAACTGAGTCCATAATCCCTCCAGAGTTAATAAAGAAAGTACCACTTCATGAGAAGTGAAAAGTGGTTGTTCTCCAGAAAGATTGACACCCCCCCCCCCCCCTCAACATAGGAATATGAGTTATGTAATGACTACAGCACTGGGCCGATGACAAAATCACCCGGAATTTGCCTGATCTCGTCAGATCTCGGAAACTTGACAGGGTTGAACCTGGAAAGTTGGGTGACCAACACGCAACGACAGGTGTTATGGGCTATCTTGTGGGCAGTGTATCCAAATCCATTGTTGTACTGTACTATGCTCCCACGTCTATGATCCCTGTCTAAATGAATCCACACCGACCAGCGTGGTGAAATATGGTATGAGAAGAGACATAATCGTAGGCAGAAGAGGAGAGCCTTGAGCTTGAACTGGAACAGTGGCAGGGAGTCTACAGCACGGGCGGCTGGAGGAAGGAGTTCCAGAGTGATCTCTGATTGTCAGTGGCTTACCGATACACATCAAAGTACATGTGGCCTGCCGTTTGATGGATGCATGAAGGGGCTTTTATAAACAGCATTTAATCTTCACATTATATTGATATTTGTATCCATTATAAACTGTATATAGGTATAGTTATCTGGGAAACCAAAAACATGTCCAGTTTGTCATTTTTCTTCTTTGGTTCTTTCGGTAAAGTCACGTAGAATGAGAATAAAATAATAAATTGATAAAATAAAATAACACAATAATATTCTCACGACGTTTCGGCCACAACACAAGCGGCCTTCATCAGGTGGATGGCGTCAGTTTCAAACTTTTCCATGAATACGTTGGCTACAACTGGAGATAGGGGGGAGCCCATTGGGGTGCGCCCCTATCTCCGGTTGTAGCCAACGTATTCATGGAAAAATTCGAAACTGACGCCATCCAGACTGCCACTCTACGCCCGACCTCATGGAAGAGGTACGTGGATGACACCTTTGTCATCTGGCCACATGGCCAGTCTGCTCTAGACCAATTCCACGACCACATCAATTCCATACACCCAGCCATCAGATTTACCATGGAGGTAGAAAAAGATGGCAAACTACCCTTTTTGGATGTCTTAATTAAAAGGAGACATGATGGTTCAATGAGCCACTCTGTCTACAGGAAAGCTACCCATACAGATGCTTACTTGAAACCGGATTCCCACCACCATCCATCCCAGAAGAACGCCCTCATCAAGACTCTATACCATAGAGCCCAATGCATTTCCGACCAGGAACACATTACCAGTGAACTCAAGCACGTACACCAGGCTCTCAGGGCTAATGGCTACTCCGACTACACAATCCGCAAAGCCATCACTCCAGTCATGAAGAAGGATCCTCTTGTGGAGCCACTCAAAACCATCACCTTACCCTACATTGCAGGGGTCACTAAAAAGATCTCCAAAATCCTGAATAAACACAAGATCCAGGTCCGATTCAACACAGTACATAAAATCCGTGATTTAGTTCCATCTGTAAAAGATGCTGTTCCAGACATACAGTACCCGGGCGTTTACAAACTAAAGTGCCTCTGTGGTAGTAGCTACATTGGAGAAACCAAAAGACATATCTCGGACCGCATCCGTGAACATAAAGCAGACTTGAAACACGGTAGAACGAACTCCTCTGCCGTGGCAGATCACTGTTATAATTCAGTGGGCTCACATGACATTGACTTCTCCAAGACGGAGGTTCTTTGCAAACCAACTGGCTACCATGAGAGATTCGTTCATGAGGCCATTCACATATACAAGCACAGAGACAATTTCAACCGAGAAGATGGATTCTGGCTTAGTAACCATTGGAAAGATGTTTTAAACCATTTCCGTTCTTAATTAATTGTATTTTACGATGACCTTCAGACCACAGCTCTTTCGCTGGCATTGCCTCTTAATACCTCTCACACCACGGTTAATGGTATGGTTTACATTTTACAACATGGAGTATAACAGCGCCTCGCAGCTGTCTCTCTCCCCCTCCTCTGTTCCGACCATGGATGAACTCGTCCATCTGAACGGGACCCGTAGCTATCCGTGTTGCTAAAGTTGAGGGTAAGAATCCACCCATTTTTCGCCATAT